GTTTCCAGCAGCAGTGAGGAAGAGGCTCTGTTTCACACCCAACCAGAGCAGCAGTAGCTTGGCTAGGAACGTGTGGGGGGACCATGGGATGGGGCAGAAGCCACCCAGGCTGCAGCCTGTGTGCAGGCACCTAACACTAGCTCTTAGAGGGAAGCTCTTTTTCCCCCGAGTGCTTTACTGTAGAAAATGAACTCTTAGAGGGAAGCTCTTTTTCCCCCCGAGTGCTTTACTGTAGAAAATGAAGCTTTTGCCCCTGTGGTGACAAATGCCTGCTGTATGCAACTTACATTTCTTGACTGACACCCAGCCCTTTGAGGGGTTGGAAGCACCAGGATATGGGGATTCTACCACTTCAGGTGGGAGGGCAGAGACCTCACAAATGTGCCAGCAAAGAATGCAAAGATTTATGTAGATAATCTAGTAGATACCAAAATGCAAGCTGGAAATTACTCTATCCCAAGGACTGATCACAACTGCTGTTTGCAACCAACGTGACAAACATCCAAAAGAATGCAGGCTTCTGGAATTTTCAAAAAAGTACATAAAAGCAGTTTTCACATTTAACCACAGGTCTCCGGTATTTAAATGTTTCTACCAAATACTTCCTGCACAATTTTTATCTCCTGTGTGTTGCAAACTCATAGGAAGGAACAGGAGAGCTGCTCCTTTAGCAAAGGACTGAAATCAAAGATTCAGCTTGCAAAGGGAAAGTGACCCCCAGCTGACACAGGCTGCCCACAACTGTTCTCGTCAGTCTCTGTAACACTGCACTGGGTGGTGAAAACACACCAGCCAGGAAGACAAGATGGGATAAAACTCTTCTCCAGAGCTGTTAAAAAGCTGCTGCAGGCCCTCATGGAACAAAACGTGTATCAGTCCGGGTTTTACGGTCTTGAGGAGGTGCTCTGAAAGCAGACTGAAAGCATCCTGCCCCCTCCCCACTAGCCCAGAAAGGATCTTCCAAGCCCTCCCTGCTGCTGCTGGCCACGGGTATTTGCCTGTGGGGAGGTAAGTTTATCAAGCCACAGCCTTCAATGGTTGATCTGTCTCACATGGGATGATGCAACCGCGTCAGGGGCTAACACCCCCCTCGCCTTTGTAAGACAGGAGATAGCAATGTCTCACTGTCACACCATGGTTATTAGACCTAATTACTGCTTGCAGTGTGCTTTGAAGTTGAAAAGTGCCAAGCATTATTATAATATTTTAAGTACTTTGATGATTAAAAACATGCAACTGTTTGGTAATAATCATGATTTACTAGTACTGTAGTGTAAGCAAGTTCATGTGAGAAGCCTGCATTGTCTCAGTGCCTGACGCCACTCAAACACAAACAGCTCCTCTCTGACATAATGGGAATGCTACAGCCCCAGCCTCCCCTCCCAGATAATGCCCGGTGAGTCCCCAAGACTCCCAGCACACAGGAAAAAACACACCAGAGTACCTCCTCGCAAGCACCAGCTCTCTCACCCCGTTCTCAAGATACATGTGCCTCTTCTCATAGCTTCATGCGGGAAAGTTTCACTGTTAGAGGGGATAAAGAGCAAGATGACTCATAATGTCCTTGTTATTTC